CGCTAGCCTTGAGCTAAAGAGCTGAGGGACAGCGCTCAGGCCCAGGGTTCAGGCCCCACGACCAGACCCCCCCCCAAAAAAAAAAGATATTAAGTGATACAAGCCAGGCTTAGAGAGATAAACCATACATTTTTTTCTCATGTGTGGAAGCTAGATCTAAAATACAAATATGCATGATAACATATACAGGGTTCAATACATTTACACACAAACTGACTAAAGGATGGTATACTTAAGGGAAGAATCCAAAGGCATAACTCCTCTGAACAACTAATATGCTGCTTACCAACATGAATACCAGGAAGTAGAAACATTATTTTTTTTGAGGGGTGAGAAATGGAGGAAGAGCAAAGGAATGGAGGGAGAAAGGGCGATGTACATAATGTAAAAAATAGTCTACATTTGAGAGTAGAGATGAGGGTGGAAATGGGGGTGACAACTGACCAAGAAGCATGGTACTCATAACCTGACTTATGGAATTGTAGCCCCTTTGTACAACTACACAATACTAACAATAAATGCAGCTAGGGTCTGGGGTGAGACTCCCAGCTCAAGTCCTGGCTGTGCATTTTTCTAGCGTAACATTTCACCCATGAGCTTCAGTCCTTCCTTTTTAAAATGGTTGTGAAACTGCTGGTTGGTCGTGAGGACTCAATGAGACCGTGGCTGGCTGGCACAGAGCAAGCGCCCATTGGGTGCAGGCCGGTAAAACCTTTCATGGCAGCTTTTGGCTGAGTAGTTTTGCACTCAAAGGCAGTGAGCACACACGCTACCATGGGTCAGACATGTGTCCTCAAGTTCACTTCATGCTGTGTAATTGGGCAAGTGGTTTCACTTGTCTGTGTCTGGCTCGCTGCAGTCACTTCCTAAGTGGTCTCCCTGCCAATCATCCTCCTCTCTTAGTTTTATCATCACTTAGCAACCAGAAGTGATCCTGTGAAAGCTAAGTCATTCCTGCCCAAAGCCTGGCAGTGGCTTCTCAAACACTCAGAGCTGACCCAAACACCTTTGCTTTCAGGGCAGGACTCCTTCACCCTCCTCACCTCCTACCACTCACAGCTCACTCACTCACTCCATTCAATACATGAGCCTTCTAGTTGTTTTCAGCCATGTGTTCCAGGACCCTTGTACTTGCTTCCTTCATATGGCTCTCCGAGACATGCAGTTGCTTTGCCTCTTTGTACTTAGACATGTCACCTCCTCAGAGAGGTCTTCCTGTGTACCTTTGTGCCCCTCTACACTCGGGCCCTGATTTTCTTCTAGCACTTTCACCATGTGGTATGAGGGTAACACTCACTTGTCTCCTTATTTCTTGTCTGAATAAACATTTAAAATTTATGAGCACTATGAAAACAAGGTCTTTGTGTTTTGCTATAATCAAGAGCCTAAAATACTACCTGGCACACAGCGAGCTCTTAAAAGATAAGTGTGAATGAACATAGGAATCCATGCACACACGTACAGGGACCTCTTTTCTTCATCTGTTGAAGAATAACAATTTCCATCTTGAAAGACAGTGAAGGTTTGGGGAGATAATATATGTTAGGACTGGCAGAAACTCGGTTTTTAGAAGTAGCCCAGATCCTGGCGATTTCTTCTGTAAGGGGGTGAATGTACCCCCAAGGCATTATTGATTCTTACAGATTCCCATTGCTCTGCAGCCTCATGAAATTGTTCTTGCTGCCTAGAAACAAAGGACTTCCTGGAACTTGTGGAGTTCAAACCAGGAACATGTAGAGACCCTAGAAGAAGCTGATATCCCTACAAATGGTAAATCTGCTAGTCTCTTCCAACCCAGGGCCCATGGTCATACTCACTCAGCCTCCAGGGCAGCCAGCCGGGCCTGGAGTCGGGCCTGGGCCCCACTAAAATCAGCCACCATGGCCTGCATCTCCTTCCGGTGCTCCTGGCGAAGTGCCTCCACCTCCCTGGCCCTCTGAGCTTGCTGGTCCTCCTCTAGCAACCTGTGGTGGACAGAGGCACGTTCAGGCCGGCCCAGGTTCAAGGGCTGAGTCCCTTGAGTCTTTAGGGTTTATTACCTTCTCTGCTGACAGACTGGCCTAATTGGGGGACCCCTGAGTTGAGGATTACAGCCTAAGGCCCATGTCCCCATAAGAAGGAAAGCTGGGTCTCTGAGTTATGGGGACCTCCTCTCAGCAAATTCCCCGGCCATTCCACATCTGTGGAAAAGAAATCCAAAAGGAGAGCCACCTTCTGGGGGTAAATGGAGAACAGACCTGGAGGGAGCCCCAGAAAACATGTTCCCCACGAGGCAGCTGGAACGGTCTCTCGGAGGCCTGGGAGACCACTGGTCCATGATCAGATGAGGTTTGAGAACATTCCTTAAGGCTAGCTGCAGCAGCCATACTTGTTCTTGATCACTTCTCAGCTGTGCGGCTGACAATGGGCAGTGTCCTCTGCTGTTCAATGGCAGTGACACTGGTCTCTACGTTACAGGATCACCGCATGAGTCTAGAGGACCCCCAGAGTTCAAAAGATGTATCCAACCACCGGCCATCATTGTTTCACCCCCAGGTGTGGCCCTCAGAAATCACTGCTTAGTTTGTACAATATATTTTTCCTGCAGAAAGGAACACTGCTTTCCAGACTTAGAGGGGAAGGTAACTCAAAGTAGTGATGATACTCCACCCAGGCCCATCTCTTTCTAGGGACTTGCCCAGGGCCATACAGCAGGTCATTAACTGAATCTACAAGATACCGCTCTTCTCAGTGAGCTCAGGACAGCTCCCTTGAGAGGGAGCCCTAGGACCTAATCTTAGATGGCGCTTCAGTTATTTCTCAGCGACATGATGCTGGTAGGGAGCGGCTCCCCATCTACGGCCTAGAACTCAGAATGGTCACGTTCCGGGGACAGTGCTTCTGCCCATCCCTACCTGTTACTTGAGCCTGGGACTTGAGTCCCAGTTACATGAGTCCCTCAGCTCCTGCAACCAGAGTGGGCCTTGAGTTCAGATGTTTTCAAAGTTAATTTTGATAAGTATTATTTTATCAGATGCACCGAGGCATTGCACCTTCATGCTCCTCCTCTAAAATCCTTTGGCCTGCTGTGTGCAAATGTCTAGAGTACTAGAGTTCCAATTTTTAACAAAGCTCCCATGGGGCATCTCAGCCTGGGAACCGGGGTCCCAGGGTTCCATGTCTATAGGACACCCTTTCTTTTAATGATCTTAACAACCTGTGTGCTAGGCAATGTTCTTCCCCAGGCCTGAGAAGGTAGGAAACATGCCCAAGGATATGCTTAAGAGGCAGAATTAAAACAGATCAGTAAGAACCCAGCTGTCTTACACCTACTGGTCATGGGAAGCCACTTGTGCCTGTCCCGCAGAACTGCTTTCCTCTCTTCCATAAAGAAGTGTTGTGAAGGGTAAAGGAATCAGCATAGCCAAAGCCCAAAGCAGTTTTGGGCTCATGCAATAGGGTTCAACATACATAGCTAACAAATAACAGGAGGGAGGGGGGAAACAATCCAGGATCTTCCAGACATTAAAATGACGGATGGACGAAAGAAAGAAAGAAAAGAAAAGAAAAAGGAAGGAAGGAAGGGAGAAAGGAAGAAGGAAAGAAAGAAAAGAAGAGAGAGAGAGAGGGAGGAAGGAAAGGAAAGGAGAAGAGAGGAGAGGAGAAGAGGAGAGCAGAGGAGAAGAGGAGAGCAGAGGAGAGGAGAGCAGAGCAGAGGAGAGCAGAGCAGAGGAGAGGAGAGCAGAGGAGAGGAGAGCAGAGGAGAGGAGAGCAGAGGAGAGGAGAGGAGAGCAGGGCAGAGGAGAGGAGAGGAGAGCAGAGGAGAGGAGAGAAGAGAGCAGAGAGAAGAGGAGAGCAGAGGAGAGGAGAGAAGAGGAGAGGAGAGAAGAGGAGAGAAGAGGAGAGCAGAGGAGAGGAGAGAAGAGGAGAGCAGAGGAGAGGAGAGAAGAGGAGAGGAGAGCAGGGCAGAGGAGAGGAGAGAAGAGAAATCAACTTCATCCTTGAGGCTGGCATCTTTTCCTGGACTTCGATGAAGTCCAGGAATCCCTTGAACAAGAGAAAGCAGCAGCAGAGGCCCTAGGAAATCTTACAGCTGTTTGCAGGAGACGCCTCGGGCAGGGCGGAGCAGCCCGGGGTGCAGGGCTGGGAGGTGGCCGGCACGGCTAGGCTGCCGGCGGGCCTGCGTCCTGAGGCCCGGGCCGGTCGGGGCCCACAGCCGGGGGTGGCCGGCTCACCCATGGGAACTACCCCGCCGCCCTGCTCCTCTGGCTCAGCTGTTCTGGGCCAAGCCCCCGAGGTCTGGGGGATCTAGACGTCCCAGAACATGGGAACTGCTCACGATCCCAGGAGCCTGCGGGAGACCGAGGCCCACGCACCTGCGCTGGTCGCGGAGCTGCAGCGCCTCCTGCTGGTGCTGCTCCGCCTCGGCGCGCAGCCGCAGCAGGGCCTCCTGCAGCCGGGCGAGCTCCTCCTCGCGAAGCTGGTGCGCCGCCGCGCTCGGGGCCTGGCCGGCGGAGGCGCGGGTCAGGTCCAGGGCCGCTGCGTCCTGAGCACAAGACCGGGGTTCTCAGGATCGGGCGAGGCCGACACGACACAGGGAACAGAGATGGAACGCAGCCCAGCGTGGGCCCAGACCAGGCTCCTGGCTGCTCTGCTCTCTTCTCCTCCCTCCCTCCCATCCTCCCTCTTCCCCGCCCCATCTCTCTCTCTCTGGGGCTTGAGCTCAGGGCCGGGCGCTGTCCCGAGCTTCTCTTGCTCGAGGCGAGCACTCTACCGCTTGAGCCACAGCACCGCTTCCAGCTTTTCCTGTGTATGTGGTACTGAGGACTCGAACCCAGGGCTTCCTGCATGCTAGGCAAGCACTCTCCCAGGACGCATCTTCCCAGCCCACATCTGCTGTCGTGGTTATTCGTTTTTTTTCTTTTTTGCGGATCCCTGGAGGGCTCTTTGAGGATTATTCTTCACGTCCCTGGGACTGGCTGAGCCAGTGCCCTGGGAGCTTCAGGGTGGAGGGTTTAGCGCTTGGTGGGTGAGCTGTTCGCAGGAGCAGGCCTCCTGCTGGGGGGAAGCTGGGCCGGAGGAGCAGGGGGGTGGCCAGGCACCCGGAGCCAGAGAGGGGACCAGGCAGGAAAACAGCCTGTGGCCGGCTGTAGTGGCTTTTCTTTCTTTCTCTTTCTTTTTCCCTTTTCCTCTGCTCCCTCCCCTCTCTTCCTCCCTTTCTCCGTCCTCCCTTCTTTCCTCCCTTCCTCCCTTTCTCTCTTTTGCTTACATGCTTCTTCCTTCCTTCCTTCCTTTCTTTCTTTCCTTTTCTTTCTCCCCCCTCCTTTTCATGTCATAACTAGAGCTTGAACTCAGAGCCTGGACATTGTCCCTTAGCTTTTTCACTCAAGGCGGGGGCTCTAGCACTGGAGTCACATCTTTACTTCGGACTTTTTGGTGGTTAATTGGTGAAAAGTCTCATGGACTCTTCCCTGCCTGGGTTGGGTTTGAACCATGATCCTCAGATCTCAGCCTCCTGAGTAGCTAGAGTTCCAGGTATGAGCCACCTGCGCCTAGCTAGTGGAGGCTTTTTGATGCCAGTCTGGAGGTCATCTGGAGCTTATTTCAGTGGGAGCCACTAATGTTTTTATACAAAATCGTGCTAGGCATCATCTGGATATCTGAAGCAGTTTGTGGTGAGATGGAGGAGAGAAGCCAGGACTACTAGGAGGTCACTGTGCTGCTGGCTAGAGCAGAAACTGTGGGCCTGCAGGGAAGGGGCTGGTGGGGGAAGTCTGAGCAGGTGGAGTCCTACAGACCCTGGCTGTGGAGGCTCCTCCTCCACAGACCCCGTGCTGGGGGTTTCTCTAGGGAGGTTTCTGAGAAATTCTTCTGCAGACCAAGGTGTGGTTTGTTGTCTAGAGGCTGTTCTGGCACCTACACCTCAAGATGATATGAACCTAAACTATAAATAAGGTGTATGCTAAGGCCCCGGTTTTGCCTTTCAAGGGTGGGAATCTGCAGGAGGCAGCCCCACATGCATAGCTTTCTATTCAGGTCTTTGGGTTTATGACTCATCTAATTAGCCAGAGAGTTCTATCCAAGTTGGTGCCCAGGAGGTCTGGCTTCTTCATGACAGAAGAGCTACTAGCAAACCCTTTTGCCATCCCATGGGAAATGCTAGGTGTAGGGGGAAGTCTGATGATCCCTCAGTCAAATTAGGGGTTTGGGTCTAGATGGGTGATGGTCAGACTTTTCACTCATATATTTGTCTCTAGTTGCAGGCGGCCAACTATCCCCTGAGCTGTGGGCGGAGCTGCTGGGTCCTACCACTTGGGGCTCGGCCCATATAGTGAATCCAGCCCTTGGAGCTCATCTATCTTACTGTGGTCCACTCACTGTGCTGGCCCAGGAGGAGGATGGTGAGGGTAGGGCCAGGGCGCTCACCTCTGTGTTCTCAGTGTGGTCCTCACTGTTTTCTGGACACGGGTTGATGACCTGCTGTCTCCTCAAGCTGCCCAGAGCCCTCAGCTCAGCCCGCAGCACCTCCAGGTCCTTCTGGTGCTCGGAGCAGGCAGCTCGCTGCTCTGACAGCTCCTGCCTGAGCGACTCTGGAAGAGAAAGACCAACAGGAGGTCATAGTCAAGGCTGAAGTCTGCCTTGCAGACCATCCTGGGTTACGGTTGGCATCTGAAGGCTGGGGAATGAATTCACTAAGTGTATTCCAAGAAACTGTTCTCATTCAGGCTCTACAACCATCTAATCTGGTTGGTGTTATCCTCCATTACAGCTCCATTTTACAACAAGCACCTGGAGAGGGTGAGTCAGATGCCCAGAACTTCACAGCTATTTCCTGGTGACTTGGGACTCAAAGTTTCTCTGAATCACCTCCTGGGACACTGATGTTGGTTGGGATGGGCCAGCCTGAGCCCTCCCTTATAGAAGGCCACATCCTGAGGCAATAGCAAGCCCCACCTCCCACGTCAAGGAACAAGGGGAAGAACAGGGAATTAATTATCAGATGACCTAGGGACCTCCTTTGAGGCTCAGAACCTCAGGCCCGAAGTCGTGAAATCCACGTCAACTGTAGGGACATTCTCCTTGCCAGGGCAGGGGTCTTGGCTGGATGCTGGAAGTGGGAGCTAGAGTGCCAGCCCATCTGGACTAAATCGAGCCACGCAGGGGGAATTCACTCAGCAGAGCCCTACAAGGTGAAACGTTTTTTTATCACGATTATTTTGCATACTGTGAAACTTGTCCAAGGTCACAATAGGCTTTGAACCCAGGCAGTCTGGCTCCAGAGATCTTAATTGGCTCCCGTAGGTTCTATAGTGCTTCACGTGAGTTGTTTGTTTCATGTGGAAATGCAAGAGGTACTGCATTTCATGTTGGGGAAAACGGGGTGGGCAGAGGGAGAAGCAGAAACAAGTAGGTGCTGAGTGGCCTCAGTTTCCCCAGTTGGCAAGAAATCTTGAGAATGAAGACAGGAAATTGATGCAACACCATGAGGCTCTTAGAAAGGCTCAGAACTGTGCTATATTGAATAGTAACTGTATATGCAGGCACTGAGCTCATGCCAAACGCTAGGTACATTGTATTTAATAGATTATTAAATCTACACTGTAACCCTACGAGGTAGAAACCATGGCAGCTCCTTTTTGTAGAACAGGAACCCGAGGCTCAGGGAACTCATCTAGATTCACAGTGGGGTGGGAGCAGAGCCAGAACTGTTCACCTTGGCTGCCAGAGCTCTGGGCCCTGTTCTATGTGCTAATGGTCTTATTGGTGGGCCCTGCAGGAGACTGGGTCCCCGTCTAGGGGGAGTTTTACCCAGCAGCAGGGTCTGCTGCGCTTGCATCCTCTCCCGCTCCTCTTGCAGCTCTTGCCTGGCCTTGTCCTCCAAGGCCTTTAGCTCCAGCAGGTGGGCCTGGTGTTGAATCTGGAGGCTGTGGCTGGATTCCTTCTTCACACGTTCCTCTGTGGCCTGAGAGCAGAAGCAGCAGAAAGCAGGCATCAGGCTACAGGTGATGGTCTAGCAATGGCCTTCCACAGCAGTCATTTTGTACCATCCACAGCTGATTGGTCCAGAGTGGACGCGTGCGCTAAAATGGGCCAGTCAGAATTCTTTCTTTGGGAATTTGGTGTTAAGATGTGGGGAAGAAAGGGGGTAAGAATGAAGGACACAGATGAAACCCACCACTGCCGATTTAACATACTCAGGAGCACTGAAGTGAGCATCTTTCATCTTTTCCAGGACAACTGTGGGGAGGCACCCATCTGCTAGGAGGTATGAAAGTAACCACTAGGATGTTTATGTCTGGAACCCTGGAAACCAAATATGTTGCCTTGCAAGGAAAAGCATGCAGAAATGACTGATAAAGTTGAGGATGTTGGGATGGGAGATTACTCTGATTTTTCTAGGCGAATCTCAGTCACAAGATTCATTATAAGAGGGATGCAGGAATGTCATTTGGAGATGATCTGATGGTGGAAGCAGAGGAGAAAACAGAAGAGATCTGGAGTTGCTACACAGTTGGCTTTGAAATATGTCAGGAGCCAGGAACCAAGAAATCCAGACAGCCTCTAGAAGCTGGAAAAGCCAAAGAAAGAAATTCATCCCGAGAGCCTTTAGGAGGAACTCAGCCCTGCAAAGGACCTCGACTTTAGAAATTTGAATCTCCAGAACTGTCAGCTAATTAATTTGTGCTGTGCTAAGACACTTAAATTGTGGTAACTTGTTGCTGCAGCAATATCAAACTAATTGAGTCCTTCTGCTCCTCTCCCTTCCCTTCCACTCCCCTCCTTTTCCCTACCCATCTCTCTCCTTACCTCCTCTCCACTTCACTCCTCTGTCCTCCCCTCCCCTCTTCCCTTCCTTTCCCCTCTCCCCTCCCCTCCTCTCCTCTCCTTCCTGTACTCTCCTCTCCCTTCCCCTCCCCTTTCTTCTCCTCCCCTCCCCTCCCCTCTCCTCCCCTCTCCTTTCCTTTCCTTCCCTCCTCTCCTCTCCCTGTCCATTCCCCTTCCCTCCCCTTGGTAGTGGAGCTTCACAAGCCCACCAGGGGGCACTCAACAACCCTAAAGCCAACTCAGTACCTGACCCCCAACAGGCTGCCATGTGCACGTGGGCTTACTATGCCCTCAGGAAACTCAGCCCATCAAACTCCCTGCACTTCCCTGGCTTAGAGAACCCTGATGGGTGACATTTGTATTCCCAGGGAAGTGGATATGAAAAGGGCTATCAAGGTTGGCAAAGTCTCTCTGACCTCGTGGCTCTGTATTTGTTTACCTAGAGATGACCACAGATTCAGGCCAGCGGCCGGCCGTCTGGCTTGTACAGAAGTCCCTGGCTCTGAGGACAGACAGGACACCACAGCTGGGGTTTCACAATGCGCTGGAGACACATCCTCACCAGGCCCTCTAGCCCCAATGGCGGTCTAGATACTGCAAGTGTTCCACTCCTCTCTCCGTGTTCCATACAGTGTACAGCCTCTTTTCACTCTGTTCCCCAAAGACCCTGACAAGCAAGTGAGGAGTGGACCTTTAAAAACCGGAGCCCTTATCCTTCCCCTAGCCTGAGCACTCCATGTGCATTACTTCTTGATCTCCACCATCCCATAAGATACACTCTATTATTTGTCATTTTATAAATGAGGAAACTTAGGCACAATGGAGCTGGTGTTCTATCTGAGCTCTGACACTTCTAAAGGGGCAGATTCAGAACAGGAACTCTGCAGCTCTCTCCTAACCACAGTGTTGTACGAGAAGTGACCAAATGTCTGCTGTCGTGTTTGGCAATAACGCCTATGAGTCTGGATGATGAAGACCCCCTAAACCTGGTAACAGATTCTTCAGGGTCTCCAGGGGGGCAGGGTACCCTGCTCCTGAGACCCTCCTCCTTCATTGAAGATCCAGAACCTCAGGGCTTCCTCCACCACCCTATAATGGCTTGGGGTGTGAAACCCAGAAGAAGAAGAAAAAAAAAACCCTGGAAAACAACAAAAAAAAGCCAGAGGATATAGTGTCTGGCAAGACTGAATACGATACTAAGTCAAGAAAGCATGTATGTTCTTTTTTTTCTAGCATTCCCTGCCTGTCACTCCCCACTTTCTGATTAAGTAGATGATACAACAAGGGTAGTTTGACTGACCATACCCCTGAGGAGTGATGCACTCGGAACTTAAAAAAAAGGGGGGGGGGCTGGTACAAAAAGTATTTTGTTCAAAGGAATGACCCCAAATTATTACCAAACAGGCATCCAGGTCACCAGACCTCTTATCAGATCACTTCAGACCCATTGTCTCTATAGTGGGGTGATAATGCCAAAACTTTACATCAGGGGTCAGGCATGGTTTGGAAGGTTTTTGCTGCTGAACTGGTTTTTCTTAGTCTGCTGCTCCGTGGCCTCCTCTTTGCATGCCTCGTGTCATGAAATCAAGTCACTCCTCTGTTGCGAAGGGATAGGAAGAGGTAGGAAGCAGCACTACTAGAAGCCCAACAATGCTGCACCTGACTTCCTGCCTTGGCCTTCTTCACTAGCTATGTGATTGAAAGCAAGGTACTGATCTCTCAGAGCCTCTTTCTTTATGTGGCCAAAGGTAGCCGGGTAAGGAGGAGGACCTTGTGTGGCTATTGTGAGGACTGCAGATAACAGACAGCATCTCCTCCACAAAGGGCCCAGCAGGGGTTGAGGGCCCAGAAAACTCCCACTTCAAGTTGTTCCCCCACCTTGAGTTCCTGGGCTTTGGCCTTCTCGAGCATGCGCAGGGCTCGCTGGTGGGCAGCCTCCAGCTGTGCCTTAGCAGCCTGGCTCTGCTGCAGGCTGTCCTGGAGCTCTTGCTGCAGCTTCTCCCTCTCCTGGTCCGACAGCTGCTTGAGCGCCTGCAGGTCGTCGCGGTAGTCATTGGTACACTGCTCCAGAGCCCGCTGCAGTTGAGAGACCTGTGGGGAGACATCCTGACTCAGGCCAGTAGTCTGCTTTTCTTCCTTCCTTCCTTCCTTCCTTCCTTCCTTCCTTCCTTCTTTCATTCCTTCCTTCCTTCCTTCTTTCCCTCCCTCCCTTGCTCCCTCTGTTCCCTCTCCTCCCCTCCCCTTCCTTTCCCTTCCCATCCCCTTCTGTCCCTTCCTTCCTTTATCTTTTTCCTTTCTTGCTAGTCCTGGGGCTTGAAATCAGAGCCTGAGCAATATCCCTGAGCATCATTTGCTCAGGGCTAGAGTTCTGCCACTGGAGCCCAGCTCCACTTTGGCATTTAATTGGAGATGAGAGTCTCATGGACTTTCCTATCAAGGCTGGCTTTGAACCGTGATCCTCAGATCTCAGCCTTCTGAATAGCTAGGATTACTGGTGTGAGCCACTGGTGCCTGGCTAGGACTGTAGTTTTCAAAGCAAGATTTCCAACCTAGATGCAACTCACTGCCTGTGGGAATTCTCAGTAGAGGGTGGGAAACACAAGCTTTGAGAACCTGCAGTTAAGTTAAACATAGACCTGCATCAGAGGATACCCTGACTGCCAGGAAGGAGGGAAGACCCGATGGGAGAAAATTCAAGACAAGACCAGACTTCCCTGCGGAAGGCAGAGGTCTCAATGGTCTCCCTCATCTCCTTCCTGGGCTTGCTCAAGTGTCATTGTTACTGAGGCCTTTTCCCACAGCTGCATTTAATATGCCTCCTCTGCAGCTCCCCAACACCCCACGACTCATCCCTTCTATATGCTTGTTCTCTTTCCCCAAGTTCTTTCTTTCTTTTTTTTTTTGTTGGCCGTGGGGCTTGAACTCTGCGCCTGGGTGCTGTCCCTCAGCTCTTCAGCTCAAGGCAAGCATGCTACCACTTGAGCTACAGCGCCACTTCCGGTTTTCTAGTAGTTTATTGGAGATAAGAGTCTCACGAACTTTCCTGCCCCGGGCTGGCTTTGAGCCGTGATCCTCAGATCTCAGCCTCCTGAGTAGCTAGGATTACAGGCGTGAGCCTGTTCTTAACACCTTCTAATTCACTGTGTGATTCAGTTCACCTATTTCTTTGTCTAGATGTTAGTGTTCACTCACTCATCCTCTGCTAAGACACACAATCCCTAAATCCCTTCCTCCCTGCAGGGGGATGCTTCCAGGACCTCTGTGGTTACCAGGCACCATAGGTAGTCTCTGCATAACACATCTACACACCCTCCTGAGTATTAAATCATCTCCTTAGACCAATACAAGGCACACAAGTAATTACTAAACTTCATTGTTCAGGAAATAAGAAGAAAAGCAGAGAAGTCTGTACATGTTTACCTACAGGTGCATTTCCCCTCCCAAACATATTCAATCTGTAATTGATTGAATCCATGAATATTGAAACCAAGGATACACAAGGCTGATGTATGTAACACTGTTATATTCCATATGCTGCTGGCATTATACATTATATGATTAAAGGCAATAATTACATATAATGTAATTACATTTGTATAACTATATAATGTCATGCATTATATATACAACCCCAAAGGCTTTTATCTGGATGATTTGTTGCTATCAATCAATCATTCATTCATCTGTGATGCTGTGAGCACAGGAATTTGGAATAAATACACAAAACCAATAGGGCTGGGAAGGTGGCTCAGTGGTAGAGCGCTTCCCTTGCATGCCTGAGGCCCTGGGTTCGATTCCTCAGCACCACATAAGCAAAAAACCGGAAGTGGTGCTGTGGCTCAAGTGGTAGAGAGCTAACCTTGAGCTGAAGAGCTGAGGGACAGCGCCTAGGCCCAGAGTTCAGGCCCCATAACAGGACCCCCCAAAAAAACCCTAAAACCAATAATAACAACAACAATAATGCCTTCCTAGCTCAGCTAGGAGCCAGGCCCCACAAGGCTTCCCCACGCTGCCCGAGGAGGCATGTCTCCTGTGTGTACAGTGCGACTAGTGCACAGCCTACCCCTTCCCCAGGTAGGACTACCTGGGTTTGCAGCCTGGCCTTCTGGCTCTGCCAGTCCTCCTGGAGATGTCGAATTTCAGGTGCTTTCTTTAGCAAAGAGCCCAGTGGAGGCTGTGGGTCACTTCCCTCCTTGAAGGGCACTTCAATCCTTTGGAGGTAAAGACAGCATCACTAAAGGTCCCAGGAAATGACATTACTGCCCTGATCGGGCCTCAGCCTGGGAGGAGGGGGCTCTAGTCACTCACCACTAGTGGGTGAGAAATACCTTGTTTTTCTTTCATCATGCAGCCTGACATATAAATTTTAAGTGTTACTGCACAAGATTCTGCAGGAACTACCGATCTGCATTTTAGTGGGTGCTTAGTAAGTAAGGATGGGCGCTGTCGGGGGACAGAGAGCTCAGCGTGCTTTCTGTGGTCTGTGGAGGCACCAGAAAAGAGGTCTCTGTGGTCTAATTTCATAATTCTTTCTGCCTAGGAGAAAAAAATAACATCGTACACAATATTCTATACTTTTCAAAGCTTGCTCATAACTTTCACTCTCTGTCCCCAGTTATAAATTGGGGAATTATAAATAGGGCTGCCTTATGTAGCATGAATGCAAAAAAATGCTAGTTGAAAGCTTCAGTACTCTCTGTATCCTAGCGAAATTGCTAACAAATGCTGGGAAGGGGTCAGTGGAAGGGAGGATGATCTTTTCTCAATTCTGAGCTTTGGAATTAGCCAACAAAGTAAAACAGGAGAAAGAAACCCTCCTGATAGGATTGGTACCCTTTAAAGAGCCAATAGAGAATTATCTATCTACCTATCTATCTCTCCTTATAAGGACACAGTGAGAAGATGGCTGTCTGAAAAGAGAATCCCTCCTCCCCAATTAGGAACTCAAGTGACCAACAGTAATTTGTGATAGAACACTAACATCTGACACTCAGCTAGGAGCCAAGTGTAAGTAAGCACCATAGAGCCTGTTCAAGCGAAATGAAGACAGGATCCAAAAATCATTGAGAATTTGAGGATGTTTGCTACAGCACCAGCAGCTGACTAATGCAGATGATATAGTTGGAGATTTTGCTTGGTTAACAAATATCCCCTAACTGGGTAAAGGTTTGTATCAGTCCTGTCTTGAATCTTGGGGAGGATTACTAATGTTTTTGAGCTGCAGGTTCTGAAATTTATAAAATAACCTTTCTGCGTATGACATTCAATAAGGTAGTTTATGTAAAGCACATATGCAGAAGACGTGTAAGATATATGTCTGTTCCTCACTGAAATAGGATGTAAAGTGTGGCAATGAATACTTGAGGACTGAAAGAATCCTTCCATATCTGAGCACTCCTGTGTTAAAGATTGTCCACAAAAATACCTTTCTTCTTCTTCCTCACTGCTGGTTGCTTCTTCAACTCCTATCTTATCTTGGTACTCTTCTCTTGTAAGTGTCTGAGAAGTTTCCTTCAGTTTTGAACAAGAGTCCTAAATCAAAGAGAATGACAAGATAAGATTACGTGCTGTTTCCTAATTAAACCTGGCTCTTTGAAAACAGAGAGCCATTGACACTTGCTGCTGGCACAGGGCTTATAGGTTTGGGATGATAAGGCTTGTCATGATGAAAGAACTAGAACTGCCCTGGTTTAAGATCATTGTCAGTCCTTCTATGTGATTTTTCTGTCTGCAAAGCACTTCACATGGTTGATGAAACTACAGCCCAGAGAGAATAAGTAATTTGCTCTATGCACACAGAAAGTGAATCAGGGAGAGGACGTGCAACAGTGTATCTTGGTGTATGAACTCTTCACTACTCTGAGAGACCATCTTATGTTCAAACAGAGTGGTCCTTGTTGGGCCCAATTTTGGGGCGTGGGGAGGATCAGAGAGTAGCACTGACACAGTCAGTGGTCAGTGCATATGAGCAGCTGAATTATTACTATAGTCATTTTGTAGGTTGCAGTGTGCCACATTCATCCCATAAAATCAGAAACATGGAACTCATTAGATGACTAGAAGCATAAAGAAATGGGAATCTGGGGAAAGAATATGGATATGATTTGTTAACAGTGAGGCTTCTCATTTTAAAAAAAATCAACTGAATTTGTTTATCTCACCAATACCTCTTTTCCACTAAAGATAACAAAACTCTTAGTTTGTCATAGTAATCACATCCATGGAGAACAGTGTTATATGACAAGCTGGACGCAGATTTATTTGGTATCATATCTGATTAGATAATGATGAATTATATCTAGGTTTTTTTGAACTTCTCTTTTTTGGACTTGTTCATAAACTAGAGACTGCATCTCCAATTAACCAACCAAATTCCAGGCTAAATGCATGGCTCAAGTGGTGGAGTGCTAGCCATAAGTGGGCAAGCTGAGCAAGCACGAATCCCTGAGTTCAAGCCCGTGTACTAGCAAACAAAACAAAACCAAGATAAACTTCAGAACTCTAAGAAACAGCTAAAGAAACACACTTAAAAGGAAATTTTAAAAGTTAAACATATTTATAAGTTTATTCAAAAGTTAAAAAATGAGCCAGGCGCCAGTGGCTCACACCTGTAACCCTAGCTACTCAGGAGGCTGAGATCTGAGGATCACGATTCAAAGCCAGCCTGGGCAGAAAACTCTGTGAGACTCTTATCTCCAATAAACCACTAGAAAACCAGAAGTGGCACTATAGCTCAAGCAGTAGAGTGCTCAACTAGAGCTGAAGGGTGCCCAGGCCCATTGTTCAAGCCTCATGACTGACAAAAAAAAAAGTTAAAAAATGAACAATATAATAATGCCAACCTAAGTAGTTGGAAAGAGATATGGAAGATAAAATAAATGAAATAGGAAAAAAAACCCAAACCTGACCAATACATCTTAGACACACTTTTCAAAAAGACACATCAAATTTCTGTAGGCCTAATCAAGGAAAAGAGAAAAAGGAGCTCAAAGCAAAATGAATAATGGACAGACTCTCAAAACAGAACAGAGATTAAAAAGAATTTCAAATGTACTCAGAGCTGCCAAGAAGCCCGTGAAAGAGAATCTGCAGGATGTAATTTCTGAGCTGCTTTATTGACCACTGCTATATTTAAAGGCATTCTGGGCAGGAACCCAGGAACAAGAGCAACTTAAAACATTAAAAGAGCTGATGCATCAGGCAACAACACCATCCTCAGATACATCATGTTAGTTTATTTTCATGTATTATCTCATGGTTGCAAGGAAAGGCACTGTTCTCCTTGATCTTGAGGAAGCACTAATATTAGAGATGTCCAGTGACTTGCCTCAGATAACATGGTCACTGGAAGGTTCATCAAAAGAGTAAACAGTAAGTAGTGTCCTGTATTGGTAAGATAAAGCATAAAAATCTCATGGTAGTCTCAGTAGATAAAGAAAAATGTTTATGACAAAAACTGAACACTTTTTCATAACTAAAAAAAATCAATTACCTAAAAATAAATGCCTAAACCCATAGGAAAGATCATACATAAAACTCATATAGTTACCACCATTATCTTTAGTAACAAATGGTAAGATTTTGTTCTAAGACAAAAAACAGGATACCCATTTCTACTACTTCCATTCAACATAGTCCTAGATGTCACAGCCAGAGCCAGGTGATGGTGGCTTACACCTAAAATCCTAGCTACTCAGTACATTGAGATCTGGAGGATCATAGTTTAAAGCCAGACCAGGCAGAAAAGTCTACATGACTCAATTTCCAATTAACTGGCAAAAAGCCAGGGAGAGGCGAGTCTAGAGTGGTAGAACCCCAGCCATAAACAAGCAAGAAAAGGTGCGAGGCACTGAGTTTAAGTTCTAGAACTAACAAAAAAAGTAATCCTAGGGGCTAGGAAGGTGGCTCAGTGGTAGAGCGCTTGCCTTGCATGCCTGAGGCCCTGGGTTCGATTCCTCAGCACCACATAAGCAAAAAGAAAAAAAGCTGGAAGTGGCGCTGTGGCTCAAGTGGTAGAGTGCTAGCCTTGAGCTGAAGAGCTGAGGGACAGTGCCCAGGCCCAGAGTTCAGGCCCCACAACTGGATCCCCCCCCAAAAAAAGTAATCCAAATCACAAAGGAAAAGTGTCCCCATTGGCAGATGATTTAATCTTTCTATAAAAATATTACAGAAATTTTTCAGAATTAAAAAAATCAAGTAATTGAAGAATGCAGAATCATCCCACAAAAATTAGTTACATTTCCACACATTAACAATTATCTAAAAAAGGGATTTGGAAAATAATTCCACTTACAAAGTACCAAGAGGATAAAATACCTGGGAATAAACTGTATTAAGGACACAAAAAATATACTGAAACTGAATCACTGATGCAAGAAATAAAAGAAGATTCATAAAAAGGAAAGGTACCCTATGATCATCATTTGGAGATGAATATTGCTAAACATCCATTCTACCCTTTAAAATCTGCAGATTTAATGCAAACCCTGTGAAAATTCCAAAGGCTATTCTTAGTGAGGTAGGAAAAACTGATCTAAAAATCATACTGAACTACAAATGACCATGAATAGGCAAATCAATCTTGAAAAGGAAGAATAAAGTTATAGCAACTAACACAGGATTGTAGTGGTGCATAAAGACAGGTAATAAACCAATGGAATAGAGTCCAGAAATAAACACATACATTTTTAGTTAATTAATTTGCAACAAGAATGTCATTAATACAAAATGGGGAAAGCTGGTCTCTTCTACTATTCATACACACATATTGTTTTTGCTCCTTATCTTACATTATCCATGAAAATCAATTCAAAATGGACTTAAGTAAGAAACAGATTGTAAAAAAAATTCCTAGTATAAAACAAATTTGTGATATTGTCTTAGAAATCATTTCATATATATGATTCCCCAAACCATAGGAAATAAAAGCAACCAACTAGGATTATATTAAGCAAAAAAGCTTCTACACAGTGAAAATAATAAGTATAATGAAGAGATAGCCTATAAAATGGGAGAAAACATTTGCAAACTATACATCTCTTTAGGAATTGATCTAAAAATATGTAAGAATTCCTACAAATCAACAGTTAAAAATCAATCAATAACACAATTTAAAACATAAGCTAAGGATTTGTGTGTGTGTGTGTGTGTGTGTGTGTGTGTGTGTGTGTGTTGTTACTAGGGCTTGAACTCAGGGCCTCACATCTTTGCTCAGTTTTCTTTATTCTTTTCTGAAACTGTGTAATTTCTATTTTTTGTATTATTTTCTTTTTCTTTTAAAAATTGTTAGTATCAATGTGGTATACAAAGGGGTTACATTTATATAAGTCAAGTAATGAGTATATTTCTTTTTGGACAATGTCACCCTTTCCTTCACTTTCTCCCAGTTTTTCACTCCCATCGCCACCTACAAGTTGTGTAGTTATTTTTTTAACATAGTGTCTAGTGAGTACCCTGCTACATCTATTTACCCTTTGTCACTCCATTTCTGTGTCCCCTTATACTCCCAAAGACAGATAAATGAATAAGCAAGACAAAAAGAAAACAAAAGCAGCAACAAAGAAAAAACCCTCTTGTTTTTATTTCCTGAAGCTCATTTTGATAAATATTATTTTATACACAAAGATACTGTGCTTTGGGGATCCTTTCCTAAGAATATCTTCCTCTGGTCTCACTGTGTGTGAATGTCCTGCATAATTTACCATTTCCAATGTATATTAGATAGAGCTTCTGCATATGAGAGAAAAGATATACTATTTGTCTCTTTGAGCTTGGTCACCTCACTTAACATGATTTGTTCTAGGTCCACCCATATCCCTGTAAATGATGTAATATTCTTTCTAATGGGTGTGTAATATTCTACTGTGTATGGGTACCACAGTTTTTCAATCCACTCATCTATTGTTGGGCATCTGGGCTGTGTCCATAACTTGACTATTGTGAATAGTGCAGCAATGAACATGGATGTGCAAGTATTTTTATGGTATCTTGGCTTGTAATGTTCCGGGTCAATGCTCAGGAGTGATATGGCTGGGTCTTGGAAAGATTAATGTTTGGTTTTTTGAGGAACCACTAGACTGCTGTCCGGAGTAGTTTTACTAGTTTACATTCCAACCAGCAGTGTAATAAGGTTCCTTTTCCCCCACATTCCCACCAACATTTGTTGTTCAAATTCATGATGTTGGCTAGTCTAACTGGCGTCAGATAAAATCTCAGACTTGTTTTGATTTGCATTTTTTTATGGATAGCGATGATGCTTGCTCAGTTTTCTTGCTCATGGCTGATGCTGTACCATTTGAGACATGCCCCCAGTTCAGCATTTTTCTTCTTAATTGGAGACGGAGTCTTGCACAGTTTTCATCTGGGGCTGGCTTTGAGCCACATCCTCTAGGTCTCAGTCTCATGAGCGCCTGGCATTATAGGCATAGCCACTAGCCACTTAGGCTGAAGATTTGAATAAACATTACACTAAATTAAGTACCAATCATCAGGGAAATGCAAATTAAATAAAAATTACAGTGAGTTATCAGTTC